ATAATAATATATGATATGTATTCATGATTCGAGGGCCGTTTGTGGCGTATTTCTCGACTTAGGATACTTTGAACTTGATCTACATAATTTGAGGGCCATTAGTGGCATATTTCTCAAACTATGATGATTTGAATTTGATCTACATAATTCAGGCAGTTAGTGGCGTGTTTCTCGAATTAAGATGATTTGAATTTAATCTATTTATGAATATTCCATGACTTTGTAGAATATTTGAGATCTTGATCTTTAAAAATACCCAAGAGTTTATGGGATATTCGAGATCTCGATCTCTTTATGAAATTTTCGAGATGTCTTCTCAAAGGAATATAGTACCCTTTATATAGGGATACTGAACTAGGGTACATGGTTGAATAGCCTCCAAGACTTCTAATTGGAATTGAACACACCTTATAGAGTCCCAACTCGAATTAAACACGTCTTGTAGAGTCCCATAAAATTTCAATGTCTACACTTCCGTCATAAAAAGATCATATATATTTTTAAATAGACTAAAAAAAAAAAGAGTTCAATATTATCCTGCTTTTTATCATTTTGGTTCTAAAGTTCCCTTTTATTTATTTTGACTAAATGAGCTATTGCAACGTGTTTAATCGATATCTTGACTCGTCTAATAAAATTGGATGGACATTGGACGCATGTGTTTATTCAGACTCACATATGTTTACAAGAAGTTTTGCGGCAACAGTTTTGGAAAGTCCGAGCAACATGTAGGTCTCAACACTCAACACACACAAAACTAGAAGCACAAGGTGGCTGGTATAAGGTCCTTGATTTAGTGTATACTGATGATACATATAAAGAACATACATACAGTGGGTTGTGTGACATACCATCCACAGGTTTTATCGAACCAATAGTTTAGCACGTTCGTTGTTGTTACTATGGGCCTTGCCAAGCTTACATGAAACAGATCAAATTTAGTGGCAATTAAGCTATTGCCGTTAATTAATGGCTGCCAAAAGATTGTTTTTTGTGTAGTGAGTACATCACTCTTACTGCATATAGAAAGTAAAGAGGAAAAACAAAACCAAAAGAATTGTGTTAGACAACTGAATTTGTCTTGTTGAGCCATTCTTGATTGAAGAGATGATACGATGGATCCCAGTACAAATAGCAACAATATGTGAAGAAAAAGTTATAGTACTGGTCTGTCCTAAGCCTTGGTGGACAGAGTTACCTGGTACATATTGTTGTGGGAGGTGGGAGGTGGAAGGTACCCCGTGGAATTAGTCGAGATACGCGAAAGCTGGCCGGACACCATGGTCATGCAAACAAAAAAAATAATTACTGATTGATTAAAGAAAGAAAAAGGACTTCTCTTTCTCTTCTCCATTTCTGTTTTATACATAACGGGTTATACCAATAACCTCAAAACTTCAACAGTATTTGATATCAGCTTGATGAGCTCATAGAGCTTTTAAGACTTCGAAGGATACTCCACATGAACGTCGAAATAATGAATAGTATTATGCCGGTTATAATGGCATACTTGAGTCCAAGATTAACCAACAAGTTCACTAGAAGGCCAGCCAAGACAACACCAACAAAGTTTGCTGAAACAGCAGACCAGAAAGGCATGTCGAGCACAGAAGCTATGATGGCTCCTGTCCAAGCTCCGGTTCCAGGAAATGGAACTGCCACAAAGAGCATTAAACCAAGCCATTGAAACTCTTTCACAGGGCCTGCCTTGTCCTTGGCCCTCTCAAATAACAAATCCAAAAGCTTCGATGCAGACTTGTTTGTTCCAGCAAGGAAAATTGCTAACTTCTTTAAGTAGAGCACAATGAAGGGGACAGGAACCATGTTCCTACAGATGGAGCACCAGTTCTTGATCATTAGCAAACAGAAAATAAGACACACTCCAAGTGCTACCATTTCCACTCATGTAAGGTTAACATGGTCACTATAACTTCTGAAGTCTAACTAATGTAAAACAATGGCTATAGAGATTGTTTGATAGTTACTTAGGGGTCGTTTGGTAGAGTGTATAAGAATAGTATTGAATAGAGTATATTAGTAATGCTGAGATTATTTCTTATTGATTGTTTGGTTTGGTGTATCAAAAGGTGGTTTTGTCTTTAACCATACCTATCCATGAATTGGTAACCCTTGCATTCCTAATATCATGATTTGCTATCTATTAATTATACACCCTACATATAATACTGGATAAGGGGATAGGGTGTATAACCAATACATGTACTATTAGTTTTATATAGGTTGGAAATCCTATCAAACAAAGGATTAAATAATACCAGAACTAATACATGTATTGTTTTCTCGAATACATCCTACCAAACGACCCTTCAGTCATTGGTACATGTTCTTCACCTTCATGTTTTTCAGACATAAGACTTCCAAAAAATTATGTTCTCGCCAATGCAACACCAGCTTGATTATCAGCTGACAATGGTCAAATCGGATTTAATTGTCAACTGTCCCTATAGAGAACAGGATTGACTAACGAGTCTCAAGGAACTAAAGTTACATCTCTTTTCAAGAATTAGCTACTCATCAAAACACTACCTTTCACTCTCATATAAGATTACACAGACCCTATAGCTTCTGAAATCTAAACCATCGGGAAAAAAGACATCAATAGACATCAGTTTCACAGTAACTGATACTCCAGCTACCAGTAACTAACAACTGGATGCTTGTTTGTATACACATTTTCAATAAAACATCTGAAATGCCAGTAACTAACATTCAAGTTACAGCACCACAACATTCCTTTTAACTGCAAGCAACATAATACAAACTCAAGAACAGTACGAAAAAAATACTTCTAAGGATAACAGATTCAATTCAACAACAACAACAAACCCAGTGTGCTCCTATAATGTGAGGCCTGGTAAAGGTAGAGTATACGCAGACCTTACCTCCTACCTCTACCTCATAGATAGAAAAGTAGTTTCCTATAGACCCTCAGCTCGAAACAGACATTCAATTCAACTACAACATACCCAGTGTACTCCTACAAAGTGAAGTCTGTGGAGGGTAAAGTGTCGCAGACCTTACCTCTACCTTAGAGGTTGAGAGACGGTTTCTAATAGACCCTCGGCTCGAAATAGACATTCAATTCAAGGACTTCAAATCAGGACAGTATAGCAAATGTGCAATCTTTCATCCAAATTACTGAATTTAAAGAGAAAATGAAACTTACCCAAGAACAGATAAAACAGTCAATACAGTAGGCTTAAGTTGCAACCAATAACCAACAGGAATTGCCCCACGAAGCTCAATTACAGGAAGTGTAGCCAAAGCAAACACAACAGCCTCATCAGGCCATCCTGAACTCCTCAAAGAATTAGCAACTTTTACACCAAATCCCGAAGCCCGAATAGAGTCAGCAGCAGCTTTTGCATCCCCAGAAACTGCAAACAAACCAACAGATACAGACGCCCATAACAACACCCAAAACAAGAATTTCAATGGTTTCTCCTCATTAGCCAGTAAACCCTCCTCCTCTTCAATTACTTCAAGAAAACTATCATCATCAGAAGCTCTAATTACCCTTTGAACACGACCCAGATGGCTAAAAGTTTGTAATATTGGAAAAGATTGAGTCTTTAAGTGAATTTGTCGATTTTGATGCGAGAAAGAGTGAATCTTGGGGAATGAGAAAGATGGGTTGGAGTTTCTATAAGAGAAAGTCAATAGCTGTGGAGAGTGGGACAAAGAAGTGGCCATTTTGGGATGGAAAATGTACTGTGAAGTGTAAAAATACAGAGATTTTAGCTCATTTGTTTGAGCTCAGCACGCTATTGAGGTGCATTTTCATGGTGAATAATGAACACAAGGAGGAGAATTTAGGATTTTGGATTTGGTATTTTGATAGGGTTTTGAAGATTTAAGTACATTTTAATATGGCCTTCAAAGCATAGGAAATACCATTAGGGAGGAGTAAACTAGGTGTTTAATCTTTGTCCATTAATTGGTCAAATTTTTTTATAGAGTTAATATCTTAAAAAAAAAACGCTCAATTAAGTTAATCATTTCAAGATTATTTTTTTTGGTTTCTCGACTAATGTTCGTTAGGACGAGTGAAAAGAGTTTACATGAATCTTTTTGATAATTCGCCTAATATAGATATTGATTTTGACATTGATTTAGAGTCGAACAGTCAACTCATTTTTATTCCGCCTATCGGCTAACATCAACAAGTATTGAAGAAACAATTGCAAAATCTTTAAAGTAAAGCGCTATATTAGACGAGTGTCTCCTCTTGAGATACTCCTATTTTATTTGTGAAGAAGAAGAATGATTTCACGAGGATGTATATGATTATCAATACTTGAATGAGGCAATTATAAAAAACAAGTATCATCTAGCTTACATATATTTGTATTGTGATCTGATCAAATTTGAATTTGCATAAAAAAAATTCACATTGAGGTAAAGTCTCCTATAAAAAAACGGTAATTTTATATCTAGAATTCGAATCTAAAACCTCTAATTAAAATGAATAAGTATTTATCACTCCATCACAATTCTTGTTGATTTTTAAAAAAAAATCACCAACCAAAACTCAAGAACATTTTAAATGTTGAAAAAAACCAAATCGTCTTAATTAGTCAAATTCAAATCTTAACACATTATTTTAATATTCAAATGTATATTTAGATACAAATATTTAAATCTTTTTAATATACAAATGTACATTTAAAATTCAGACATATTAATCTTAATAAAAACAAACAAGATCAAATGTTTACTACTGATAATATATATTTATTCAAAAAATAATCTTCTAGTTATACACAATTTTTTTATTTTTTTGGCAAAAAAGTTATACACAAGTTTTGTTACGAATAATCCACCATTCCACAAATGTAATTAATTAATTAGTATTTAATTATTCTTTTATGTCTCTAACATAATTCCCTTTTTAATTTATCTCAAAAGAAATGTTATTTTTTTATAATTAAAAATTATGTTGAGAATCGAGTTCAACCTCCATTTACTTCTTAGTCATGAATTTGTATAAGTCTGGCCTAATACGATTTACATTTTCGGTATTATTTATGAAAAGAATAAATAGTCCAAAATCTCTTGTCCAACTTCTCCAAAGACCAAGTAGAACCCAAAATCATGGGCCGCAAGAGAGACAGAACCCACTTCAATCGCCACGTCCCGTACTCCTTCCCCAAGCGCCGCCGTCCAACACCAATCACCGACGATCCATTGCCGGTGCCGGAAGACAACTCATCGTCCACCAAGCAACAGCCGGCTACTGTGGTGGTTATTGGGGTTCCTTCTGAATGCTCTGTGCTCGACATTAAATCTCGTTTTGAGATTTATGGATCCATCTCTCGAACTCGTATGGACCCTAATGGTCTCGCTCATATCACTTTCCGTTCCAATGATTCTGCCCAATCTGCTGTTGAAGCTGCCGAAGATTCATCTTTCCCCATTACTCTCCACTCCAAGCCTGTATGTCCCTTTCTTCTCTTTTTTTCTAATATCTTCTAATTGTAGAAATTTGTGTCAAGATTGCTACTTTTTGTGTTAATTTCACCTTTTGAATTTGTGGGTCTGTTAGATGTTTGCAAAATTGAGTTTTTGAACTTGTGATTTTTGGCACCCAAGGGTGTTCCTAGTGGTCATTAAAGTAGTTGAGAGTCGTGAGATCTCAGGTTCAAATCTCAGTTGAGACAAAAAAAAAACACTAGGGGATTGTTTCCATCTGTCGTAGCTTTGGTGGACAGAGTTACCTGGTAGTAGGAGGTGGCAGGTCTCCTGTGGGAAAGTTGCTAGCGGGAGGTGGCAGGTAACCTGTGTGAAAGTTGCTAGTGGGAGGTGGCAGGTATCCTGTGTGAAAGTTGCTAGTGGGAGTTGGCAGATATCTCGTATGAAATGTCGAGCAGCTGGCCCGGACATCGCGGTCACAAAAAAAAGTTGTGATTTTTGGAATTTGAAGTTGTGTTTGGACATGATTTTTCTTGGAAAAAAATTGAAGTTCTGTGAGTGGAAGTCTCAAAAATTTGGGAACCTGAAAATAGTTGAAGGTCAGATTCAAATTTCATGATCAAACAGATAGTTCCAAAATCTATGGCCAAACGCTAGCTAAATTCTTGGTCTTAGCTCGGCCAAGAATTTTGGTATGTGGGTGTTACTTTAGCTGGTACAATTGATTTAAATTACATATATGGACAATGTAAATAGTTTTTGTACAATCAGTGTAGTATAACAGGTTGTAGCATGTATACACAGACAATGTATATAATTTTTGCACAATCAAGGTAGAGTAACACGTTGTAGCATGTTAATTACCATCCAAGACGTATAATTTGTGTATGGTTTTTTAAAGTAAAATTGAGAGCTGATGTAGTGCGGCATTACTTTTGTTGGGGATGACAGGTTCAGGTAATATGGGCAACTGACCATGCATCACAGTGGAAAGAAGGTGTGATGCGAAAGGATGAACTATCCACATCAACGGTTGCATCGAAGCTAGTTAAAGCAGAAGTGCCACTAAGTAGGCACGGAAGAAGTAATCGACTGGGATCAGCAATTGTGAACCCCCGAGATGAGGATAATGATAATGCTGGCGGTAATGTTCGTGCACATGTTAGTACAAGGCTGGTTGAGCCTTACAAGGGTAGGGAAATTGTTGCCTATGATGATATTTTGTAACTTAAGGTCGTTGTTTGAGGGATTGCCTCACTTGTAACATTAGCTATATGGCTTTAGGTAAATGTTGAGTTTTTATTGCAGATTAGTTGGGTGATTTTCAGTTCTAGTTGTTCTTTCAAATAAGGTTCCTATCTTGTTTGTTTTTCTTCTGTGTGTAATACTAGCACTAAAAAATGATCATGTACGTAAGATTTTTTTTTCCATTTGAGTATGTAATTCATGTAGGCTTCTGTCTTAGCAAATAAGATGCTGGTCCTTGATTTGGATTTTGTCGAAAAGATAGATGTTACTACACTTGGGTTCCTCAATACTTGTACTTGCACCATACTGCTTGGAAGAAGTTTGCAGCGTTGATGAGTTTTCACATTACATTTTTAGGATTCTCCTACGTAAAGGGGATGTAGAAGAATCTGCTTTTTCTGTCATGGCTTTTAGCTTGTGTAATATATAGAAGGCAGCCACATGCCACATAATCTTGTAGAGCTAATTCACCCTGTGTTAATTATCTTTTCTGGTAAGTACTGATGGCACATTTGAAACCTTCTTGTTGACTATTTTGGAGACATGTAACTATGACACAAAAAGTTGTTATATGGGTTATGAGAGTTGTGCATGATGTCTAAATGTTGATCAGATGTTTGTGGATGATGTTATTGTCTCGATGTTGAACAGTTTTTACTAGTAATAATGCACTACATTGATATTGACTGGTTACAAGAGTTGGAGCATTGTATTTTGTTCTTGAAATTGTGCATCTAAGGAATGAGAAGATGTCCATCTTGAATCCTAGTGACGGGAGCTGTCTCAAATTTTCTTACACTCATTTTCTGAACAGTATCAATGTATCATATGATGTAAATGAAGATGATGCTTGATTACAGGTTTCTTGTAGTTTGGTTTGGGCCTCCCTCACTCAGCTTCTTGCTTTGTCGCTGGTTTGGTAATCTCTCTCTTCCCCATAGGAAGAAATGTCATTTTGTTTAAGCATAAATGATTTATAATCTTTCCATGTTTTCTTTCATAGAATCCTGCTGCAACAGTACCAATTTAGCTGGAAAGGTTCATTGCAAGATAACTTGACAAGAGGAATATCCTAGCTTACTGTCTCTATTCTGCTATAGATTTGCTATTTATCTTTTGCAGAATTTTACATAGAATGATTTTCATTAACATCAATTAGAAGGTATCACTGTTCATCCATTGCTCAACAGGTATGATCGTCATAAGGCATTCTCTGGGAATGAACTAGAGAATCAGGGGTAAGAAGGGCTTCAAGGTAAAGAAGTTATTTTTGAGCTAATATCAAATCATACTTAACCTGTAAAAGACATATGAGCTATGTTGCTCGGACTCTTCAAAAATGTCAACGGGTGCATGTTGGAATCGCCAAAAGTAGTGTATTTTTGGAGAATCCAACATGGGTGTGGCATCAAAAGTGAAGAGTCTGTGCAAATAAGCATATGAGAATATGAGATGACAATAGATGTTGATGTTATTTGACCTTGTTGTGCTAAGACTGAAGGGATAATGGAGTAGTTGTTCTATAAATTTTGCTCAGTAAAATAGATGATTTCTTTCCATCTGTTTTGAGTTAGCCGTATCAGTGCTAGTGGGAGGTAGCTGGTATTCTGTGGAATAGTCAAGGTATGCGTAGCTGACATAGACAAACATGGTTGTCAAAAATAAAAAGAGATAAATGTTTGCTTCATCAAAAAAAGAAAAGGAAAAAGAAAGAATGTGAAGGTTGGGAGGATTGTACAGCTAATAGAACTCAGGGGCAAGATGTACTTCTATTGACAAAACTGTGTTGATTGCTAGTCTTTTTAGAGATTCACTCAGCCTGCTATGTGGTGCAATCTTCTTCAGCTTATTGTATATATCTAAGGATCAACTATTGATGCTACTTTTCGTGCTGGGAAATCTTCAGCTGTAAGTGGTATTGTTGATAGAATTCAACATAAGCACTTCACTTCAACCGCCAAGTGGAATCTGATGAACTGAAATTGATCGCGTACTAGCAGGAGAGCTGCTTTTTCCTGATTACGGGACACTGACCACAAACGAGGATGGTCAGGCCAGTTCTCGGGGTTAGAATAGTCCGTTTTATGAGCCTACTCAGATCAGAACTAAACTAGTTCGATTTTTTTTGGCTGGTCAGCTTTAATCAACCTTCACATTTTCTGAAGAGATCCCAAGTCTCCAAGTGAATGACCAACCAATATGTTTTGAGCTTTAGGCCAATCTTTGTTTTTAATGAATGAAATCATCTTGTTTAGAAGTCAATAGGAGCCTCTTAAATATTCATAATTGAATTTGAAATTCTTTATCTGTTTTGGGATATAATATATGTACTTGAGGGCTAGTTTTGCCTTTCCAAGAGGGAGTCATGCATACAAGTATTTTTGTTCGAACGTTGATATATAACTAACGGAATGCTTAGAATATTTCTATTACCTATTAAAGGAATGTTGTTAGTATTGGTGCATTAGGAATTTGGGTTAGGAAGCTTAGTAGAATAAAAATCTCTTCATGCCATCAGTGGCAGATCTAGGATTTTCAGTAAAGGATTTGAAAAATAATAATGTAGTGCATATAATTTGAATTTGAAATCTCAAGGCGAATTTTGAACTCCTTAAACCATTGAATCAGCCTCTATTTTTGAATTTAAAAGATTTAAAATCTCTCTCTATATATATACATAAAAAATAAAATTCCTTATATATATAATATAATTTTTTACCGAATAAATTCAAGTGAACACCTAAATACATAATAAAGTTTTCTTTTTCCCCCCTACGAGTATTTATCTTCTTTTCTGAACAAGTTAATCTTTGATTGAAATGTTCTGTGGATCTGTCTCTTTAAAATTAGCTATCATGGAGAATTCAGATTTTTTGACAAAAATCATATCTTTCACATATAACTTTAGAACGTACTTGTACAAATATTTGTCAAGGTCTAGAAAGTAAACACAATTGTTATCTATGGAGAAAGGAGAAAAACAAAACTCTCTACAACAAATAGGTCTAGTGTTGTACCATTTCTGCAGCAGTAACAACACAGCATGACTAAGAAGTAGTCATTATTCTAAACTGATACGTCGCATCTTGCAGACAAGGTTAGCGGTAGGAAGATCAAGCTGATTACCTGAATCTGATTTTATAAGATCCTTGAGCTGATCTTTAGGTGTTGAAAAACATGTCTGGAATGTAGCAAGACATGTAGGAATTGGCATTGATAGAGCTGAAAGTACATTGCTTAGATACTCGATATCAACAGAAAGTTGTTGTGCTCCACGATCCGTTATATACTGGATCCCTCGAAGCTGTTCCATGTAAAGTGCCGTGGCACCTTCAGCAACCTTTTCAAAAACAAAGGCAAAGGAAATAATTGTGAGAAGAAATACACTTGGAGACACAAGTAGATCCTAATCAAACTCCACTTCTACATGTTGCCTCCTGATATTTTCGATTTTTTATTAAGTATTCAGTTGATAGCACAGATATTTGTAGGTAAATGCTCAACACTTGATCATAAAATATTTAACTAAAACATATATACCTTGAACATCCATTCAGTTGCAAAGTACTGGGCTTCATCAGCATTGGGATCGCTGTTGGAAATACTCTCTACAAGGGGCTCTAGCTGTTGGGGTAATGTAAGGAGATATTCACCAACTCCAGTCACATAAGACTGGGGGTATGCACTGAAGGTTGGGAGGGGCCTTAGACTATGTTCTTCAATAGATGACCATATGGGCAGCCGTGACAAATCATTGAAGTGCTGCCGTATTTTTGAAATGAGAACATCATAAACAAGCTCATTGACTGCGTCTGTGAAAGCTGTAACTCGTTGTGATGCTACTGGAAGTGCGTGGAACCTGGGATCTTTAGACTGCAGAAGGCACAAAAAAGAAGTTGTCAATGTGAGATCAAATTTCCATTGTAGAAGATTTGGCAAGGATGCATTGAAGGAATAGAATTGCTAAGGAACTCAAAAGAAAGACAAACTTCCAGATATGTATAACTATTGTGGGAACCACTGACCTGCTCCAATAAATTAAGAAGCTTCCGAGCCTTTTCAGGAATATCGACCAGTCTCACAGCTGCCACATCCAAGGCAGCCTTTCGAGCCACAGATAATTGCCCATTTCCATCATCATTGACTACATCTGGCTTGTTTTGATCAATACTTGACCCAAAAACTGAGAGAGAGAGGTTTGTACTCAACCTAGCAAGAGTAGCCTTGAGGGAAGCTTCAAAGACTGAAGATCTGCTGGTTAAACAATCAGCAACTGTGAGGATCTGTAGTGCACCTTGAACAAATGACCACTCCTCCTCACTTGATGTGAAATCAACTTTACGTGCATTTGAAGCTGCTTCCCTTCTTTCTGCTCCCGTATCTTTCTTTGTACTAATAGCATCCACATCCAGTCCACAAACAGCTCTCAATGATTTTACGTTCTCCTGCAAAGTGGAAATATACTGTAGCATGACATCATCCAGCACGAGAATTAACTCATCCACCTCAGAACCACCAGTAAAGTTGATGCATCTTTCAACTGCTGCTTCAAGAAGCAAAATGACTTGTGGAATTGACTCTTCCATCCTTCGTACAGTTTCACTAAGTTCAACTCCCTGGACTCCCACAAGAGTAACAGCAGCTCCTCTGAGATCAAGTCCTGCAATCTCACTAGAGAGAACTGCACGCTCCATCTGTCCATATCTAGATCACAAATTTAGAAGCATTTAGGATACACATACTTGTTACTGAAAAGCAGATAACCTTGCAATTACGCTCCAGATCCTCCAATGACACCAGACGAAGTACTTGAAAAACATGCTCAAGGGTCTAACAAAACCACCCAACACATTATCTTTACATGTAAATAGTCAACACGTCTGATTGTACCAGGATGATGATATTTAAGCAGGAAACTTCAAGTTATTGACCTACAAGTTGATACTTATATATTACAACCAGCTCCAGCTATGCTTCATCTAGCATAAAGGTCAAGGATGTGAGAGAGAAAACAGAGTGATGTAATATCGCATATCACAAGATACTGAGTAGTCATTATTCCTAAAAACGCTTGCAGAAAAGAAATGAAAGAAGAATCAACAGACCCATATTGCTACCCTCATCAAAAGCACTAAATTTTTGCAACTCAGTCACCTAGAAGAGAACGAACTTCTCCAACTCAATAATCCAAGACTTGAAAGGACTACGGCTATGTATACAACTTACGTGAAGATGGTACTCAACTCAATAATACAAGACTTGAAAGGACTAAGGCTATATATACTACTTACATAATGATGGTACTCAACTCAATCACACCACATAAATGCGTTCAATCAAATAAAAGACCTTTGCGTGAGAGCAAGTGTACTGCTCCTCAAGAGAAAACACCAAGAAAAATGAATAGAAAAAAATTGGTATCTGGACAAGGGGATGCCATATGCAGCCGGAAAAAAATGTGAATTTGAGAAGTCAAAAGGGATAAACAAGAATATTTGCTTTTGGTATGCTTACCGCCTTTTGAAAGATTCATAAGGAAGGTACACTGCCTTCAGAGCATCCAAAAAAACTT